GAACACTCGACGTACTGAGTGACAGTGCAAATATTTACTGAAGTACTGTCGAAAGAGGTATTCTACTATTTTTACGATCTACCTCTTCCCTTTTAACCGCAAAACGGACGGACAAGATATCTACATGAAACTTCACTACAAGTCACGTGAAAGATGAAAAATTCGAATAAAATTTGTTTTAAAAAATTGGGTTTATTTCTCAAATGATATTAAAAGACGGTAATATAGTTTAGCACTGGATATAGCACATGTGACTTCTGGGCATCCTGTGGGACAAACTCGACATAATACCAAAATAGATGCATAGATAGATTGATGGAATTAAAGATAGAACTAAAGCCGACCAGCGGCCGGCCTAGCTAAATCTAGTCCAACCAATAGATATAGAAAGATTTATCAAAACTTTGAACATACTAGAATTCACAAAGATCCGAAAGCAATATTTGAAAAGAATAAGTTTCGACAATTTAGTACAGCAATGAAAAACCTTAAAACCAAAGTCATATTGAAAAATGTAAATTAAAATGAAGATAAACATAAAACAAAATAAACTAATTTTGGTTAACTGAAGTGTCTTCATATGCGAGTACCGATGATTATATCATTTATGGATATATGATATAAACCTACTTGCAGAAACGTTGTCATAGAAAATAGAACACTTGAATTTAGTAAAAAAGAATAAATTATAACAGGACAAAAGAAAGCGCTCAGCCTCAGTGATCTTCTTTTGTCTTTTTAATTTATTCCTTTTTACTAAACACAAATGTCCTATTTTTCAGTTATGACAACGTTTTTCTCAAGTAGGTGAATATGTAAGAATTAATAAATCCTCATGCATTTTTTTGCGGGCATCAGTTTTTAATTAGTACATGTACATTGACTTTAAATTTTAAGTAATATATAAAATATGAGCGGGAGACCTTTATGGGCATWTMAAACTGYGAGCTGYRAGCRWGCAGTTTTATAGCCCATAAAGGTCGGACGCGAATATTTTATATTGCTTATCAAATTCCAACATAAGATGAAGCATATTTCGAGAAAACTTCAGGATAAAATATCATTTGTAAGAGAAAATCGAAGTTAAAGTTTGTATGCAAATTAGGGCAAATCTCTTGCTCATATAAAGATGCGGTCACGGCAATGGTTTTCCATTGTGTTTACCTTATGAATTATTAATGGCTTTGATAATGACCTCAACAAACCTTACAGACTATAGATTAATTCTTAAATGATGGAGTCTATTATAAAAGGATATATTCACAACCGTCTTGGATGTTAAAAATGATATTTTTTATGTGATATTTAAAAAACGAGTAGGAGTGTTTTATCGTGAGTTACAGACACTCGATGTATGCCCAACACTAGAAAAGTTCACAGTTTTAGACTCTCATCATAGAACTTTACTAGGTCTCGAGTTAAAATTACTTATTTGCAGAGTCACAGTACACTAAAACATAGTGGCGCTTGGATGTGGGAAACCAAGTTGATTACTGCTCATGCTCAAATGGAGATATCTTCATCAATTATTCATTTTTGATATTTTTTTATTTATTTCATGTTTATTGTAGTTTCTTAGGTTTGGGTTTTAGAAGTCATTTAAAAAACTCGTAGTTCGTGTTTTATCGTGGATATAAACACTCGGCCTTCGGCCTCGTGTTTATATATCAGTTACAACACTGATGTTTTATGCATGAGTGTTATAACTAACTGAACCGGTTATTGCTGAGTCAGTGTATTTCTATGACCTCTACTTGGATTAATACTCAAATTACAAAGAGGTGCATCAAAACAAGATATATAAGTTTTGACATATTCCTAAAGTCATGGAGGGCAGTCGAAAATCTAAAACGAATTGCATACTTCAGCTTGGTGTATTGCTGAATTTAGCCCTAACCATACTGTCTGTGGGGTATTTGACTTACAGAGTGCATACTTTGGATTAGGCCGTATTCTGTACCTCAAAATTATGCTTAGAAAACGATTTTCGCTGCCCACATCTCAGAACTACTTTGAAATCACATAAATCTATAGTTTTTTACTTACTGAATACAAATCTGCTTGTTGTCACCTCTAAAAACCTGCAGTTTTTTCATAAAGGCCTTCGAAAGTACGATAAAATTCTCCAGTAATGTCCCTATCCGCCATCTTGTTTTTGTTTGAATAACCGCTGACCTTCGGCTCACATTTGAAAATTTCAGTGACTAAAAGTGGCATAAAAGTTTTCCGTTTCAGTCAATTTCTTATGATATCATTAATGATTATCCATTTTTAATGATTATTAGTTCTTTTTCAACAAAGAAAGAAAGAAAATCATAAAAAGTAGTAAATTAATGCTTCTATGGTTTAAAATATTTAAGAGAATCTATGTAAGAGAATCCGGAGTCCAGTAAAAAAAACAACCTTGGAAACTGGAATCCGTATCCTTGAACCCTGAATCAAAATATTTGAACTCTTGACATCCAAGAACAAAAATTCTTTAAGATACGGAATCCTCTAGTTCTCTGGATTCTCTTACATGCGGCGAGAAAATGCTCAGTGCTTTCCTTTTTAGAACTTTCAGAAGGATCAGAGGATTGCTACCTTTTTCGTACTCCTCCAAGGATCTTTCTTCATTTTGACGCAACCACAGATGTCTGTACATCTGAGACCAGATTTCAAGAAAACGAGCTTTGCAGCACGTTTTACACTTAGAGCGATGGGCGAGTGCACTTTAAAAAAGGGAATCAGAAGCTGGGGGCGGGGCATCATCAGAACGCGCTTAATTGCCTTACAAAAAAAAATTCTACTGTGTCAGGAAGAATATTGGTAGATTCCCCTATCCAAGTCCTCCACGTAAACTATTTCGAACTTGTTGCGCACTTTTTTAGTATGGAATACCAGATGTGGGAATCTGCTGTAGACGTTCCTTAAGTGCGTTAACGAGACGTATCCTCATTTTCCACTTGTTTACAGTCCTTACAAACTCATCTTTAAGCCTACTCATTTAATATGTTGACTGTGCATGTCAACAATGTGATATTTTACATATTTGCAAAATATATCGAACGACTTACTATACAGATATTTACACTCAGATTTCATCATCAGTCACATTCTCCTGTGTGCAATCCCACATTGGTATAGAAATGATGTATAATTCTTATAGCATCGTTTGTGGTATTTAACCTCTAAAGCAACACATTCTCATCA